AAAGATCAGATATGTATCAGTTTCAGGAGCACATATCCAAGTGGCCTGGGTCACATTTGAAAAAACTGGATCTGTGTCGTTCAGACTGTCATTAAAAGATCAGATACAGGTCACAAAGAGGCGAAAAAATCTGATTTGGGTCACTTCAGGCTGCAGTCTGAATGTCGACAATCCACAGTGTTCAAATCTAAACGAAGCTCATTGAGGGCGGCAGTTATCTCGCATTCTATTATTCGGTAGTTGATAAATCCGAGTCCGTTCTCCCGACATCCGTTGCAGTTTGACAATTACATGATCAGAAAAAACTCTACTGTCAGATGAAGTGAAAGAAAGTCTAAAAGTCACTACAAAGGTTTTAGAAGACATTTTCTCTACACAAAAAAAGTTGTGACGTAAATCCAGTCGAACGAGCCCGAGTTTGATCCTGATTCGATTGGCCATTCCGTTGCACTTTCTCGAGGTGGAGGTCGTTTTTTTCCCTGAATCCCAAGCGCAAGAGAACACAGCTTTAGTGCGGCTAATCTGGAGTCAAGTTCCATATTTGTATTTATGAGCGCGGGTGTCATAGCAACCAAAGAGCCAATCAGGAGTGAGGCTGTTGAAGGTAACGCCCCTTCCCACGCACTAGGATACGTTGGCAGGCAGTGGGTGCTTCAGGGTGAGCAGACGTCCCTGTTTACCCGGGACAGACCCAGTTTTGAGCCTTTTGTTTTGACGTGAACGGAGTCTGCGTCTCTCCGATTGGTTAATCCTCCTGTCAATCACGCTCTTTGGGATTGAGGAGGCGGGACACAGTTCCACATCCACTTGTCTTTGTAAAGTTTTTTCAAAGCCTGTATTTTTGGACAAACAAGTAAGCGGATTATATATATGTATAATTCTTTTTACTTTTTCAGGACCCCAACACAATATTTTCTTTGCAGCTGATGTGAGCGTCGTACACCGGGCGTCTGTCTGCGGTCAAGTCGCCTTCATCTGAGAGTTCACAGTGTGATTGGTTTGACTGATGTCCTGTCGATTTGAGCTCCCTGGCACTACTGCATATGCGCACGACGCCTTTACAGTTTAAATGCCGTCGAGCTCCTGATGCAGAAGTGAAGTAACAAGTCACATTTCAAAGTGTATTGGTATTGGTTGGTGTTGGTTTTATTGTATGTTTTGACCAGTTAAGCATCGACATGTGTGTGTTGGATTTGTGGCAGAATATCTACGTTAGATAATTGAATAGTTTGGATTTAATATTTGATTTTATCTTTATCATTTTCATTACATTGTATTTTATTTTGTTTCCATGTGTAGAAAGTCCATGTCCACTCCATGTCCAGAGATCCAGTCGTCGAGGATCCACCTTCGACTGCTGCACAGATCTTTGCACCTGGCTTCAGGGTGGGGTCTTGGTGACGGCAATCTGGGCGACGTAACTGGCCTCTGTGTCGAACTCATCATACGGGGCTTCGGAAGCCCCTCCTCCTCAGAGGAGGCCCCAGGGAGACCCAGGACACGCTGGAGGGACTATGTCTCTGGGCTGGCCTGGGAACGCCTTGGGGTGAAGGAAGTCTGGGAGTCGCTGCTTAGACTGACGCCCCCGCGACCTGGCTCTGGATAAGCAGAAGAAAATGGAGGGATGGATGTGTAGAAAATGTTTTTACTTTGTTTAGAAAGGCACTGTATAAATCAAATATCACTCTATTATAATATTAATATTAACACTATATTCATGTTTTAGCCTGTGATATTTATTTAATATATTTGAGTGTTTCCAGTCATTTCTTTCTCTTATATAGTGGGAGCCTTATTTGATAGAAGATATCACCCTGTCGAAATTAGCTACCTCTACACAAATTCATGTAAATGAGTGAATAATGGTGATTCTACAGTAGAAGCATTATTCGATGGTTAAATTGTCCTGTCGATATGTGCTACCTTTAGTCGGAGCCTATTTGAGCAGAATACGACTGTCAAAATGAATTACACATATTCATATAAATGAATAGAAATTTGACATAACTAAAGTCTGATCATCGTGTGCAAACAGCATCAAACCTGCATCTCTAATCCACAAACAAATATGTTGTAAAATTTGAGGCCAGGGTTCGGCTTTATTGGATCTATACAACTGTACATGGAAAAACATAAAATCACTTATCACAGAACTCCGGCTCTACATGATCCTGGAATTTGAGCTTTCTTTTCTCCCCAAGGTTTCTCCCGCCAGCGTCAGCAACAGGTCAACAGTGACTGAACTGCGACGCCCCCAACATCACGACACAGCAGGAAGACACGTTACCTTTAACTCTCTCGCTGCTCAAATTTGCCTCTATAACTGATGGCCTTAATGAGATTCATTTGGCTGGAGCTATTCGTGACATCACAATTACATAATTAGTTTACTTCTTTTTTTTGGTTGATGCATTTCGCCCAAAGTTCGGTCGATGTATTTTGCCCAAATATTCGGCCGACGCATTTCACCCATAATTCAGTCATTGCTTTTCGCCCAGAATTCGATCGATATATTTCGCCCAGAATTCAGTCGATGCATTTCACCCAAAATTTGGTCAATGCTTTTCGCTCAGAATTCGGTCGGTGCATTTCGTCCAGAAGGAGAGGAGCCAGTTGAGGTGGCTCGGGCATCTGTTCTGGATGCCTCCTGGACGCCTCCCTCGGGAGGTGTTCCGGGCATGTCCCACCGGGAGGAGGCCCCGGGGAAGACCCAGGACACGCTGGAGGGACTATGTCTCTCGACTGGCCTGGGAACGCCTCCGGGTTTCCCCGGAGGAGCTGGAGGACGTGTCTGGGGTGAAGGAAGTCTGGGAGTCCCTGCTTAGGCTGCTGCCCCCGCGACCCGGCCCCGGATAAGCGGACGAAAATGGATGGATGGATTTCGCCCAGAATTTGGACGATGCATTTCGCCCCGATCCCAATCAAAACCTTCGCCCCCTGGTCACGTCTCTGTCCAAACGTTCGTCATCAGTCCCGCGCCTTTTCTGTTTCCTTTACAACACTTAGGCCGAGATCTCGCGTATTCTCGTGCCTTCTCGCGGCGTTTGCTCGCTCAGTTCCGTTCCCACGCTCGCGCTTCTGTCACGTGACGATGTGAGCTGTTTGAACTCGCCGCTCTTTTGTCTCGCGCTCGTTTGTCGGCTCGTTGGCGCTGCCTTTGATGAGGCCTTTGATATGCGGCGCGCGAGTGTTATGCAAATGAGGCCGAGCCGCACGCGCGCATCTCACTGACGCCCGACAAACGTGACAGCGTCATGACGGCGGCACGTGACCCCCAAGTATAAACACCCGTGTGTCAGATGCCCTCCCAGACTCTGAGTAAAAATATAGAATAAAGCACTGAGAGAAACTAAACCAGGACTAAACCAGAACTAAACCAGGACTAAACCAGGACCAAACCAGGACTAAACCAAGACTAAACCAGGACCAAACCAGGACTAAACCAGAACTAAACCAGGACTAAACCAGGACCAAACCAGGTCTAAACCAGGACCAAACCAGGACTAAACCAGGACTAAACCAGAACTAAACCAGGACCAAACCAGGACTAAACCAGGACTAAACCAGGACTAAACCAGGACCAAACCAGGTCTAAACCAGGTCTAAACCAGAACCAAACCAGGACCAAACCAGGTCTAAACCAGGACTAAACCAGGACTAAACCAGAACTAAACCAGGACTAAACCAGGACTAAACCAGGACTAAAACCAGGACTAAACCAGAACTAAACCAGGACTAAACCAGGACTAAACCAGAACTAAACCAGGACTAAAACCAGGACTAAACCAGAACTAAACCAGGACTAAACCAGGACCAAACCAGGTCTAAACCAGGTCTAAACCAGAACCAAACCAGGACCAAACCAGGTCTAAACCAGGACTAAACCAGGACTAAACCAGGACCAAACCAGGACTAAACCAGAACTAAACCAGGACTAAACCAGGACCAAACCAGGACTAAACCAGGACTAAACCAGGACCAAACCAGGTCTAAACCAGGACTAAACCAGAACTAAACCAGGACTAAACCAGGACTAAACCAGGACCAAACCAGGTCTAAACCAGGACTAAACCAGAACTAAACCAGGACTAAACCAGGACCAAACCAGGACTAAACCAGGACTAAACCAGAACTAAACCAGGACTAAACCAGGACCAAACCAGGTCTAAACCAGCACTAAACCAGGACTAAACCAGGACCAAACCAGGTCTAAACCAGGACTAAACCTGAACTAAACCAGGACTAAACCAGAACTAAACCAGGACTAAACTAGAACCAAACCAGGACTAAACCAGGAACAAACCAGGTCTAAACCAGGTCTAAACCAGAACCAAACCAGGACCAAACCAGGTCTAAACCAGGACTAAATCAGGACGCACAGAGTCTGGAGCAGGGCAGATCTGCCTCCGGCTCATCTGAGTCCGGGTCTAAGTCCAGACCTGGTCCTGGTCCACGCCCTCGCGGTCTGTGCGCGTGAGGAGCAGGGTCCTAAAAGTCACGTGACCGCAGCTTTAAGTGATGACGCTGCGGCGCGAGGACAGGTGTCCGCGCGCACAGGTGAGAGCACAGTCCTGCTCCAGACTCGGACTCAGACAAAGCTGGGACCTAAACCAGGATCTAGACCAGGATCTAAACCAGACTACAGTTGGACTTGACCTGTTTTTTCTTTCGGTCTGTTATGTGTTGTTTTCTTTGAGCGGGTCCTGACCCCTGGAGCTCCTCTGGACCTGGACCAGACTCACAGACCGAGCTCAGGTCAAACCTCCCGGCTCTTCTCTCCTCCACCCGAGCATCCTCCCTCCTCTCCCGGCCCCCGAGTCCTTCCCTCCGGTCACAGCACCCCGGGAATCCGCCCTCGTCTCCCCGGCTCTCCTCTCTTCTCTCCGGGTCACTCTCCTCCTCTCCCCGACTCTCCTCCTCCTCTCCCCGGACCCCCGTGAGTCCTGGACTCGCTCTGGTCCGGCCCTCGCTCCAGGCTGGACCCCTCAGGCCACGGGACCATGTACTACCTGCAGCTGGACAAAGAGCCGCTGTACCCGGCTCAGAGTCGCTTCGTGGCTCCTCCTCAGTACCAGGACTTCGCCGCATATCATCACCACGCGCACCCCGGGCTCAGCGAGGCTCCCCCGGCCCCGCAGCCCGGGCCGGGTGCCTGGAGCCCGGCTTACCCTGCGCCCCCGCCCCGGGACGACTGGTCCTCGCACTACGGACACGCCGCTCCGAACGCAGGTACCGCGCACCCGCACAAAACAACATCTAAAAATATGAAAATACATCGTGCAACACTTAAAATAAGAAAAACAACAACTTTTTACGCTTAAAATAAGAAATAATAATAATAAAAAAAAAAACTTTTTGTGTTTAAAATGAGAAAAGACAACTTTTTTGACTTAAAATATAAGAAAATCATACAATTTTTTGCACTTAAAATAAGACAAAACAAAACTTTTTTGTGTTTAAAATAAGAAAATCAGCAATTCTTTGTACTTAAAATAAGAAAACAACAACAATTTGTTGTGTTTAAAATAAGAAAATCATAAATGTTTTGTGCTTAAAATAATAATTTAAAAAAACAAAACAATTTTTTTTGTTTAAAATAAACAAAATTAAGTGTTGCTTGAATAAAAAAAACACTTATTCCATTGTTACATAATTTTATTTGTCAAATTGAATCGACTCAAATAAAGTCAAATATTCTTAATTATTATTAATTATTATTCTTAAAGTCTTTTAACTCACCTAGATATTGTTTTTTTTCCAGCGCAGTCTCATTTTCACTTAAATCATTGAGTTTTTTAAATCATTTAGGCTTAATTAATTTAGAACGTTGCTTTAATTGAATCTTTAACCAGTTTTTTATGACCAGTATAAATACTTTTATGTTTATGACAATGATAACGCGCTAAAAGTGATTTTGTGATGCCAGAGTCACGCTACGGGAGGGAAGTATATAAAAAAAAAAAACTAAATGTAGGTGAGTTAAAATGACAAATTAAGAACATTTTACTTTATTTTGAATCGATTCAACTTGACAAATAAAATGATCTGCCAATGGAATAAAGTGTGTTTTTCTAAACTTGTTTTCTGTTTTTTTGTATTTTAAGCACAAAAAGTTCTTGTTTTTCTTATTTTAAGTGAAGCACAAAGTACAAAATTTTACATACAAAGTGAAATTTACTCAAACTTTTTAAATTCAAGTCATCTTAACTTAACTAGATTAAAGTTTTTTTGGTCTGTTTGGAGTCTATTTTATTTGACTTTTTAGCTGGTGTAACATCGTCCAAATTAACTTTTATTTTTATTGTGGCCTACGCAGTTTTTAAAATAAATGCTCACAAAGTTAATTTCATTTATACACTGAAAAAAACAACAACAATATGTAGGTGAGTTAAAATGACTTAAATGAACAACATTTGACTTTATTTGAGTCGATTCAACTCATTCAACTCGACAAGTAAAATGATCGACCAATGGAATAAGTGTGTTTTTCTTAATTCAAGCAACAGTCGATTTTGTTTCTTATTTTAAGCTCAAAAAGTTGTGTTTTTTTTTTTTTTTGTTTGTTTTTTATTTAAGTTAAAAAAGTTGTGTTATTGTCTTATTTTAAGTGCAGCAAGATGTATTTTCATATTTTAAGTACAAAAGGTTTTATTCCACTGGCAGATCATTTTACTTGTCAAGTGAAATTTACTCAAATCATGATAAAACTTTCTTAATTCAAGTCATCTTAACTTGACTAGATTTAGTTTTTCTGGTCTGTTTGGATTAAAATTTATTTTATTTTTTAGCTGGTGTTACATTGTCAAAATTAACGATTATTTTTATTGTGACTTATGCAGTTTTAAAATAAAATTCTATCAAAAAATATAGAAAAATTAGGCAAATTCATTTCATTTATTGTATATTTTGGGGTGAATATAAATAGAATTCAAGTCAATATTCAATCAATCAATCAGACTTTATTTATAAAATGTTTTTTATACAAAAAATGTTAAACAAAGTGCTTTACAGTGATTAAAAACAATCCCACATTTCCCACATTCCCTCTCTGGTCCTCGTCAGGACTCGCGCTGTAGAATTTTGTAATAACTGCAAACCTGAGATCCTCTTTTTGGGAAGAGCAGAGAGCAGCAGGGCGTTACACTCGTCTGTTGGACTGGTGATAAAAGCATCAGTGTCTCTGTGTTGGTCCGAGAGGGAACAGGCCGGACTCTGGCTGTGTTTTTTAAGTGATAAAAAACTATTTTTGTGATGTTCTTAATGTGTGAGATAAAAGTCAGCTCAGAGTCAAAAATAACGCCCAGGTTTTTTACTTAAGGAGAAGGGTTAAAAGACTGTGGGCCTCAGGACCAACGACTAAAACCTCAGTTTTGTCCTGGTTAAGCTGGAGGAAGTTTTCTGCCATCCAGGATTTGATTTGTAGAAACAGTTAAAAAGAACATCCACTGGTCTGGTGTCGCCAGGAGACATGGAGATGTAAAGCTGTGCATCGTCTGCGGACATGTGGAAGTTGATTCCACGCACACCACAACACCACAACACCACAACACCACAACACCACAACACCACAAAACCACAACATCACAACATCACAACACCACAACACCACAACACCACAAAACCACAACACCACAACACACACTCACAACACCACAACACCACCACAACATCACAACACCACAACACATCACAACACCACAACACCACAACACCACAACACCACAACACCACAACATCACAACACCACAACATCACAACACTCACAACACCACAACACCACAACACACACACAACACCACAACAACACACAACACACACACCACAACATCACACCACACAACAACACAACACCACAACACAACAACACAACAACACAACAACACAAACAACAACACAACAACACACAACATCACAACACAACAACACAACAACACAACAACACCACAACATCACAACACAACAACACCACAACACCACAACATCACAACTGTATGTAGTGCAGTTTTTATTATTATTATTATTTAATTTTTTTTTGTAAATGTCTGTTGCTCACTGGCTTTTATTTTGAAAAAGTCCACTGTGAGTGTTTCTTTAAGTTTGACGTCTTTTCTTTACACTTTTTTCACTTTTTTCTGACCACGTGAGCTGCAATGTGTCGAGCCTCCGCGGGCTGCCGGGCCAGATGAGCCGTGGGTTCTGAGCTTCTACGGGCTCCTAGAACCAACCGGGCCGTGGACGCCGGTTCACGGGTCTTTGTCTTCTCCTTCTTCCAGACGCCCGTAAGGCGTCCAAACAGAGGTGTCCAGTGTGTTTTTTGTCGCTGAGGTCTCGTTTACATAATGCTCTCACAGTGTATTCACGAAGGTCCGGGAGATTTGGTGGTATGATCCCACCCATAACTCTATGAAATATGATTAACTCAAACAACTGTCAATCTCAAACTTTCTTCCAGCCACAGAACGTCCTGCAGGTGTTTGTTTAGTTCAGTGCTGCAGAGGGAGTCACTGATTTATCCAGATACCACTGGAAGAAAAATTGTGATTGGTCCATTTCCATTCCATTATATTAACCCTTTGTTTCCCAAGAAATATCAGTCCAAGTTTATGACACTGATCTAGAAATTATTACTAGTGTCGTGTTTATTACTCACTGAATAAAAAATATTGAAAAAATATATTAGTAGTACAAAAATTCATTCAATATTTTTTCTTGAGCCTTCAGAAAATGAAGACTCTGAAGGTTCAACTCTGAAAGAAATGCTGTTTGCACAACAAATGTTTGGCTCTTTCATTTACATTTACAATAAAAGTGCAGCTATACACTACTTTTTAATTCATTCATTGGTTTTGCGTATAACTCATGTGATTAATCACAATTACTATTTTTTATTTTTGCCCAGCTCTAGTATTAATATTACAGTGTGTGTGTTTATGTTTGATTGAGTGACTGTAAAAAGCATAAATCAGATGGAATAATGGGATCATCTCCGTCGTAATAGGCCTATTTTCAGATTTTTTATGTGTTTTCTGAAGAAATTAAATGTAAAGTGGATTGAAGTAATAATTTATTGTAGTAATATATATTTGGCTTTTGAAAACATTTAAAACTGCAGATCTCGAGTCACTTTTAAAAATTGTAATTATTTGCAATTTACTCTAAAATTCTCTGCATTAATTGTCTCTGTGTCCCTCTTGTCCCTTGTTTCCCTCTTCTCCCTCTTGTCCCTCTCTTTCCTCGTGTCCGTCTTGTCCCTTGTTTCCCTCTTCACCCTTGTGTTCCTCTTGTCCCTCTTGTCCCTCTTGCCCCTCGTGTTCTTCTTGTCCCCCGTGTCACTCTTGTCCCTCATATCCCACGTGTCCCTCTTGTCCCTCGTGTCTCTCTTGTCCCTCTTGCCCCTTGTGTCCCTCCTGTCCCCCTGGTCCCTTATGTCCCTCGTCTTGTCCCTCTTGTCCCTCTCTTTCCTCGTGTTCCTTGTGTCCCTCATGTCTCTCTTGTCCCTCTTTTCCCTTGTGTCCTTCATGTCTCTCTTGTCCCTCTTTTCCCTTGTGTCCCTTGTGTCCCTCATGTCTCTCTTGTCCCTCTTTTCCCTTGTGTCCCTCTGGTACCTTTTGTCCCTCTTATACCACTTGTCCCTCGTGTTCCTCTTGTCCCTTGCCTTGTCCCTCATGGCCCTTTTCTCCCTTGTGTCCTTCTTGTCCCTCATGTCTCTTGTGTCCCTCTCGTCCCTCATGCCCCTCATGTCCCTCTTGTCTGTCGTGTCCCTCTCGTCCGTCGTGTCCCTCTCGTCCCTCATGCCCCTCATGTCCCTCTTGTCTGTCGTGTCCCTCTCGTCCGTCGTGTCCCTCTCGTCCGTCGTGTCCCTCTCGTCCCTCGTGTCCCTCTCGTCCGTCATGTCCCTCTCGTCCCTCGTGTTCCTCTTGTCCCTCATGGCCCTTTTCTCCCTTGTGTCCCTCTCGTCCCTCTTGCCCCTCATGTCTCTCGTGTCCCTCTTGTCCCCCTT